AAATTCAAAATAATCACCGACTGCAACGCATTCGCCATGACCATGAGGAAACGAGATGTCCCTTTGAGAGTATCCCGGTGGGCAATGTTCCTACAAGACTTCGATTACGAGATTGTACACTGGAGTGGCACAAAGATGCGGCATGTGGATGCCCTGAGCAGGGTATCGTGCCTGATGTTGGAGGACTCGCTCAGCCATCGCCTGAAACAGGCACAGCTCCAAGACAATTGGATAAGGGCGGTTCGGAAGGTGCTAGAGAAAGACGAATACGAAGATTACTACGTAAAGCATGACATCTTGTACAAAGATCCAACGAAGGAACTTATCGTCGTANAGTTCGGAAGGTGCTAAAGAAAGACGAATACGAAGATTACAACGTAAAGCATGACATCTTGTACAAAGATCCAACGAAGGAACTTATCGTCGTACCGTCACCAATGGAGACGACTAAAAAGGCTTATAATTACATATTGGTGGTAGTAGACGCCTTTTCCAAATTCGTCTGGCTGTATCCTACCAAGGACACTGGTGCAGAAGCCGTGATCGATCGCATGAAAAAACAGTCATCAGTATTCGGGAATCCTAGGCGAATCATTACCGACCGGGGCGCAGCCTTCACCTCCAATCGCTTTAAGGATTATTGTGCAAGCGAGAACATTCAGCATTTAGTGATAGCGACTGGCGTTCCTCGAGGAAACGGCCAAGTGGAACGCATGCATCGGATCGTCGTTCCCATGCTATCCAAGATGTCTAGCGAGAATGAAGGCCATTGGTACAAGTACGTGGATCGCGTGCAGCAGATAATAAATAGTACACCGCCGAGGAGTACCAGGCAATCCCCATTCAAGATCTTGACGGGATTAGATATGCGAATAGAAGGCATGCCCGCATTTCAGGATTTGCTGGAAGATGCGGCTGTCGAAGAACTAGATGCGGAGAGGGAAACCTTACGCCAACAAGCACAAGATAATATCTCCGTCATCCAACAAGAAAATCGACGCACATTCAATGCACGGCGTAGAGCCGAGGCCAACTACAACCTCAACGAATTGGTGGCCATACAGCGGACCCAGTACGGAGTCGGATTGAAATTGAGACCCAAGTTCTTTGGACCGTACAAAGTTGTCAAGAAGCTGGAGCACGGCCGATACGAAGTAGTCAAGGTTGGCGACCACGAGGGACCCAGACGCACCACCACCGTCGCTGAGTTCATGAAACCGTGGAGCCCATCATTCG